CCCCCCCCCCCCCCCGGCCTATGCCCCGGGCGCGCCCACAGGTCAGTGGTCTTCCTTGGGTGAGGACACGGTGTTGGGGAGAGTGGACGCGAGTCGGAGCACGCCCCCCTTCTGCTCCAATGGCACCCCATCCGGCGATGGCGGCACATTCCACGCCTGCACGTTGGGAAGACACGCGGCGGGCTACTTAGCTTTTCTTGAGGGCAGCCCTTTTCAACAGCAAGGGGGCCCCCGGCCGGAGGGTGGGCAAGGGGAATGAGGCAGGGGGGTCGATCTTTCTCCCCTCGGTCCCGAACCAGGCCCCGGAAGGGATGGACGCCCAGGCGGCCCCCTTCGCCGAGGGAGAGGGAGAGAGAGAGAGGAGCGGAGAGAGAGGTGGCCACTGCTAGAAATCACCCGAGCGTGCTCACTCCTAGACCACCTGCCCCGCCATCCACCCCCACTCCTCAGCGTCTCTCTCCCCTTTCTCCTCCTCCTATTGTCGCCTCCTTCGCGCCCCCCCCCCCTCCCTTGCCTCCCCCTCTCTCCGCACCTCTCCTTTTCACAAAAAAAGCCCCCAAGCGCCTTGCTCTCCGAACCCCCTTCACGGATACCGAACCAAGATTGGATCAGTACCACGCTTTCTAGCTTGCCACTGGTGCGTTTCCACATGTACATGCCCGCGCGGGTCCCTCTGCAAGGGTGTGCATGCTCACGCGCCAGGCACCTGGGCACACACACACACACACACACATATGCACGCACACACGCACACACGCACATGCACATGCACGCGCGCGCGCGCGCGCTGCCCTCTCTTCCCCATGCTGACCCCCCCCCCCCCGCCAGAGATGGACTCGACAGCCTCTCTTGGGGGTGGCGATGGCCGGGACCCGCCTGGCCAGCCACCCACCACCGGGACCGATCCTGGCAATGAGGATCAGCAGTTGGTCCGCCAGAAGAAGAAGTCCCGTCGCCGGCACCGGCTGGCCATGGCCCTGCTGATGGGCGGCCGGTCGTCCTCGGATGGCCCCAACGGCGGGTCGCCGGCACTGGCCTCCACCGGGTCGCAGCTTCTCCACGCCCTTCAGTGGGCCACCAGCAGCGCGGCCGCCTGGCGCCCGCGTGGCAAGAAGTCCAAGTCCAAGACGTCAGCCAGTGGCGAGGGCCTGGCCAGCCCGCTGGATGACGAGGATCCCGCCTCGCCGGATGCCGGCGGGGACCTGTCCCCCCCGGTGTCCCCCACCACGGACGAGCCCCAGACCCCGCAGTCGCATGCGTATTCGCAGGCGACTCCCGGGTCTCGTCGGCCGCTGGCCGGCGTTGGCCAGGGGACCGGCCATGCGGCGGTGGCCGCTCGTGCAGTCGGCTTCTCCGGCGCCATTGGCGGGAATCTTGCCTCCCCATCGACGCCTTCCTCCGGCATCCGGCCCTCCTCGTCCATGATGTATGTCGGCTGCTGGCCATGTCCCCTTGCTCTCGCGCTCGCCCTGTCCCTTCGTTGCTCTTCTGACCTTTCCGCCGTCCCGCGGCCTGGCAGTGGTATCATGCGCTCGTCGACGCAGCAGCCCGGCGCGACGGCCAATGGGGACCTCCTGCTCCATACCGGCTCGTCGATGATCGACGACGATGACGACCTGGGCACCGTGGCGCTGAACGACTCGCAGCCGCCGCAAACGGCCGAGGATGCTCGCATCGCCGCGCTGCTGACTTTGCGCCATGGGCTTGGGGATTTCTCGGATGACGATTCGGACGACGAATCGGACGATGGGGAGTCGGACGACGAGCTGTCACGGTCGGCCTCCCCCTCGCGGCCTCGGGCCATGCGCAACAAGGCCACCTCCGGGCGCGGATACGACCCCTATGGCCGGGAGGAAGACCGGATCCATTCCATGAGTTCCATTTCCATTCAAAGCCTCTTTTCCGACTCGGCCGGCAGCCCGGCCGGCCCGGTGGAGGCATCTACCGACGAGCTGGCCGCCGTGAAGACCGTGCAAAATATGCTGGCCGCCTCGTCCGGGCTGAGCCGGTCGCGGCAGAGCGTCGCCCAGGCGGCTGCCAGCGAGGACGCCAGCGGTGTGGCCGATGTCCTGTCTTCCGATGAGGAGGGCGAAATGGCCGGCACCGCGGAGGACGGGTCGCGGCTGTCGGCCAAGTTCGGCGCCGCTGGTCGCATGCTGGACCCGCATGAGTGTGTCATCCAGCTGCGCGAGCTGGTTTTGGCTTTGACCTTGCAGGATGACTACACCGGGTCCTTTGGCACCCCCTCCCCGGGGCACTCGCGCTCCGGGTCTCTGTCCTCCCCCGGCAGTGGGCCCGTTGCCCCGAGCAAGGGGGTGGTGCTTGCCACCGCCGAGGGTGGCCCGGTGCACTCGGGCATGCTGCTGCTCCGTGCATTGGAGATCTGCCTGCGCACGGAGCTCGGCGCCTGGACGCGCATGTTCATCGAGGCCAGCGGTGTCGAGGCTCTGGTCGATGCCATGGCCTCCATCGAGTCTGTGTCCAGCGGCGAGGGCGCCTTCTCGGGGAGTCGTCGACCTGGTGAGCCGGATCACCAGCCGGCCTTCCTGAGCGCGCACGACTCCAGCGAGTTGGTGACGCGCTGCGTGTTGTGCTTGAAGGGTATGCCTTCCTCTGGGCGTGTGTATGTGTGTGTGGGGAGGGGGGGGGGGGGGCATGGCCATGTGCAAGAGTGCCGCGGCGGAGGAGGGGAGAAAAGGCCGCTTGCAAGGGGAATTCCCCATGTGCTCTTACTGACATATCTCCCCTCTAGCTCTGATGAATAATCCGGTCGGCTTGCGGGCGGTCCTGTCGGATCCGGCCCTCTGTGCCAGTGCCCTCCGGTCGCTGGCCCTGTGTATCTCGGCGCGCAGCTTGCACGCTCGGATTCTCACGCTGGACATCCTGGCGGCCATCTGGTGCGTCGGAATGGGCATCCTTGACATCCTTTCTCTCTCTCTCTCTCCCGCTTCTCTGTGGCCACTTTGGTGCAGGCCCCTTTTTGAAATCTGCCCATCGACTCGCAGACGGCTTTGTCGAGCCATGAGACTCCCCCCCCCCCCTTCCCCCCCCCTATTCGGTGATGTGGTGCTAATCCCTTCCTCCCTTGTGATCGGGGCGCCGGTGGTGCCCCCAACTGCAGCTTCGTCCCGCGGGTGGGGACTGGACTGGTGTTGGACTCGCTGACGCACTTCGCGCATGTCCGGCGGGAGAACCGCCGCTTCCAGACACTGGTGTATGACCTGCGATTTGCCACCAGTATCGACCTCAAGATCAGCCTCATGTCGCTGGTGAATGCGGTGTGCCACTCGTCCGAGGACTTGGCCGTGCGGTTGTACATCCGCAATGAGTGGCTGGATCTCGGCGTGTCGGATGTCTTCCCGGACTTGCTGGCTCTCGGGGACCGGTCTCTCCGGCGGCAGATCACCATTTTCGAGACCGAGCGCCTGGAGGACGAGCATGAGGTCATGCAAATCTCCGACCTGAAGAATGTGGACTGGAGCGATCCGGTCCACATGGCGGCGTCCATCGACGCGGCGCTCCATGCCACCGGGGCCCACATGTGGTTCAATCGCATGATGCAGCAGCTGATGCTCTTCCCGATTGCGGTGGCGACGTCCATTTCGTCGGCCGATGTGGCTGTCGAGCGGCGCATCCTCAACCAGTACTGGCGTCTGATGTACGAGGTGGCCTCGCAGGTGGCCCTGGTTCGGCCGACGGCCGAGGGGATCGCGCCCTTCCTGTCGGCGGCCGGCCTGTCCGAGGCGGGCCCCGGGTCCGAGGTGGCCGGGTTCATCGACGCGGCCGAAGAGGCGGCCCTCGAGGCCACGGCCGCTCTTGGCAGCGAGCCAGTGTTCAACCCACTTGGCCCGGCGGCCGACTATGCCGGGATCGCGGGGCAAACGTTCGACTACACGCCTCTCGGCCTGGATCTAGACATGGACCGGCTGCTGGCGCTGGTGGCGCGCAACGACCCCGTTGACTCGGCTGTCCAGGAGGTGCGTCCAATGGGCTGGCTTGTCAAAACACGCCCCATCAGCCTGAGGCGGGGGGGGGGGGGGGGCGGGGGCGGGGGAGAGAGGACATGTTGTTTGTCGCTTTCCCTTTCGCCACACCGATTGACCAGGAGGCAAGTGAGTCTTCGACTGACATTTGACGCCTTCCCCTTCGATGCAGCTGGCCTCCGTGCGTAAGCACCTGGAGGAGGCGTATGAGGATGCGCACGAGCTGCTGGCCAGTGGTGAGCCGCTGGAAACCCCGGCATCCAAGGCCGCCTCGGCGGGCCCGCCCATGCCGGACATCGATCCGAAGAAGCCAGGTGCGTTGGTCGCCCCCTCTCCATGTGCCGGCATCCATCTCCTTGCCTCCGATCCACCGGATAATCTGCCGGGTTCAGGGGCGGGGGGGGGGGGGAAAGAAAACAACGACTCGCGATCTGGTGTCCCAGCTCAGGAGCTGGTCCAGGACCCCCACGAAGATGATCGGCAGGAAGGTGTAGATGACATTCCACAGGGCATTGGACAGCGGGTCCCAGGCCAGCTGGCCACTGAAGCCATTGTCAAAGGTGAAGAAGAAGCTCACCATGTACAGGGTCATGGTCTTGTACAGGGAGTAGAGGATGACCTTGCTCAGGCGCCGGTAGGTCCGGTGGCCGTGGACCATGAGCAGCGGCGCGAGGAAGGTGCGTGTGCCGGGGGGGGGGGGGGGGGGGGGGGGGGCAGTTCTTTCCATGACAGGGGACTGACAAGTGTTCACCCGAGCGCAGTCGACTGGCAGAATGTCCTGGCTGCGCTGCCGGAATCTTGCTCGCCTTTGCGCCGACTGCTGTCGAGCCCCGACGTCCAAATGGCCGTTGGACAGGCCCTCAACCCGGCCACGGTGGTGGTCAAGCAGGCGACTCCTTCGGCCCCGGCCAAACCGGCAGCCGCTCCGGCACCCGCCCCACCGCCCCCGGCGGCGGCGCCGCCCCCTCCTGCAGCTGCTCCGCCGCCGCCTGCCCCGCCGCCGCCCCCGGGAGCTGGTGCTCCGCCACCGCCGCCGCCGCCGCCGCCGCCGATGATGGGCGGGGGACCTCCGCCGCCGCCGCCGCCGCCTGGCGGTGGGCCTCCGCCACCGCCGCCGCCCCCTGGTGGTGGGCCTCCGCCGCCCCCGGGTGCCGGGCCTCCGCCTCCGCCTGGCGCCGGTCCCCCGCCTCCGCCGGGTGGCTTCGGGCGGGCGGGGCCGGCCGCGCCGGCTGCCCCAGCGCATGTGCCCACGCGTAAGATGCGCCCGGTGGCCTGGAACAAGTTGCCTCCCCGAGTGCTGTCGACGACCCTCTGGACGCAGCCAGCCGCGGCCGACACGCCAACCCTGCTGCCTCTGACCTCGGAGCAGCAGAAGAAGCCCTCTTCCGCCGGGACGGGCTCCGGCGCTTCCATCAGTGTGATTCCCCTCCAGGAACTGGAAGAGCTGTTCGGCGCGGAGGAAGTCGCCCCGGGAGGCGGCAAGGACGCCTCGGGTGCCGGCGACGGCGATGCCAGCAAGAAGAAGGATGCCGCCGGGGCGGCGGCCGCCGCCGCCGGGCCGCCGGAACTGAACCTCATTGATGGGAAGCGGTCCAACAACATGGCCATCACCCTGTCGCGGGTGCGGCATTCGAACCAGGCCATCCGGGATGCCCTGCTCTCGGTCAATGATGCTCTGCTGGATGAGGCCACCCCGCGGTACTTCAATGGTGCCCTGCCGACGGATGAGGACATCAGCATCATCCGGACGCATGTTTCCCCGGATGGCAAGACCGATCCGAGCATGGTTGCTCGGCTGGCTCGCGTTGAAAGGTTCTTCTGGGACGTGTGCCTGAATGTGCCGAACTATGCGGAGCGTGTGGCGGCGCTGACCTTCCGCTGTCGCTTTGATGAGCAATCCTCCGAGGTGAAGAAGGTGCGTGCTGGCGCGAGGGGGGGGGGGGGGGGGGGGGGGGGGGGGGGGGGGGGGGGGGGGGGGGGGGGGGGGGGGGGGGGGGGGGGGATTGTCGCTGTCGGTCATGTTAATCTTGCCGGAGGGGCAATGTTGCTAACGCATCGTGTCGGTCCTGCGCATTTGCCTATGGCCGCCATCCACCCGTGGGTGTTCCCGTGTGCTGCATATGTGGTGCGCCTTTACATATACATGCACATGTGTGACTCGCGCGCGTGTAGAATGTCGATGCCATCCTCCTTGCATCCAAGCAAACCTACTCGGCCAAGCACCTGCAGCGTATCATGCGCACGGTGCTGGAGATTGGTAACTACCTGAACTCCGGGACTTTCCGTGGCCAGGCTCAGGGCTTCCGGCTGGATGCGCTGTCTCGGCTGCCGGAGACTCGCGGTCGGCCGGCCTCCTTTACCCTGATGCATTACATTGCCCAGGCCCTGGGCAACCCGCCGGTGGTCCTGGCCGATGTGCAGGCCGACGGCGCGGACGGCACCCCGAGCATCAGCATCGCCCAGCGGGAGCCACCGCGCGACAGTGTGGCCGACATCCTGCGTCGAGAGATGCCGGCTGTCGGGGATGCCAGTCGCCGTGCGTATACTCCCTTCCGTGCTCCTTTCTCGGTTCCCTCCTCCTTCTCTCTTTTTTTTCCCTGCCCCACATGTGCGCATACTGATTGCTCCTCTCTCTCTCTTTCTCTCTCCTTTTTAGTGAGTCTTCCTATCATTGAGAGCGAGATGGCCGAGCTTCGCCGCGGTCTGGCCGCCATTGTCAGCCTGCTGAAGATTCACTCTCCCTCTTGGGAGCTGCCGCCGGCCGAGGCCATGCTGTCCGGTGATGAGGCCGACGACGACAGTGACGGGCCCCTGTCCCCGAAGCTTGGCCTCACTTCGGGCGGCGTGGCAGGCACTGGTGGTCAGGGCGCGAGCGCGGCTGCCGCCGGATCTGGCGGCGCCGAGGCCGATGCGGCAGGTGTCGGCCATGCGCCAAGCAGCTCGGAGGACCGGTTCTTCACGGTCTTTTCGGAGTTTGCCCGGCGCGTGCACCGGCGGATCTGCACCATCGAAAAGTCCCTGGCGGACGCAAATAAGGGTACGCATGACACACGTGCCGTGGGCAGCCAATTTGCATTCCCTTCTTTGCGCCACCTCGCTCCCCCCCCCCCTCTTTCCTCCCTGTCGTCGCCCTCCTCCCCTCTTTTTTTTTTTCACGGACTGTCTCGGGTGTTATTTATTGGTTGGCTTTTTTGTTTCCTTCTTCTTTTTTTTTTGCTGACCCAACCGCCAATGTGGCTCACGGCCCATCATTCGAAATGACCCAGCCTTCGAGCAGGTGGCCCTGCTGTATGGCGAGGACCCGAAGGCCACGTCAACCGAACAGATCTTCGGCCTGCTGAATGAGTTCATGGAATCGCTTGCACGCTGCCACAAGGAGAATATTGCCGACTTCCAGCGGCGTCGTCAGCAGGAAGCCCGGGAGGCTCGCGCTGCGGCCGCTGCGGCCGCGGCCGCCGCCTCGTCGCCGGCGCTCGGGACGAGTGCCGGTGGGCGTCCTGGTGCGGCTGGGCGCCGGCGCCCGCCTCCGGGCAACATGCCGGATGACACCGGCGACGAGGGTCCCGGCGCCATGGACGATCTGATCGCCACCATTCACAGTGGCTCGGTCTTCCGTCGGACGAAGTCCCAGATGGGCCTGGCCCCACCTTCGCTGAATGCCGTGCGCAATCGCCTGGCTACCGGGGGCAATGCCTCCAGCGGGCCGGGCAGCGATGCGGGCAGCTCGTCGGCCGGCTCGTCACTGGTGGACCTGGTGGCTGGCGGTGGCTCCGGCATGACCAGCGGCATTCCATCGACCGACAGCCTGGACAATGTGAGTCTGGAATCCTTCACAACGAACGTCGGCCAGCCGCGCCGACGCGCCACTCGGCGTCTCGGCGGCGGTCTGTCAGCCGGGTCCTCGGGGCTTGATCTGCTGGATGACCCGCTGTCGGTGGATCTCGGATCGGCGGGTGGCAGTGGAGCGGCCTCGGCTTCGGCTTCCTCGTCGTCGGATCCGCTGAATGACCCGCTGTCCTCGCCGACGTCACCCTCCGGCCGCGATGCAGGGCTCTGGTCGCTGGCGGCTGGAGGGGCCACCGGGGCGGGGCAGGCGCCGGCCGCCTCGCGAGTGGCTCGCGCTCGATCCACGGTGTCCCGGCAGCCGGGGGCCAATGGTGTCGGGTCGGCGGCGCCGCTTCTGCGGTCCCCCTCGCGGGCGTCTGGTGCGCTGCTTAATTCGGCGGCCATTGCTCGGCAGCGGGCTGCCGGAGCTCGGTCGAGAACGACCTCGACCGATGCGCCCGCCTCCGCGCCCGAGGATGATGCCCTGCAGGCGGCTTTCCTGGAATCGCACATTTGATCGCCAGCACGCGCATGATGAAGTCAATTCCTGGGTCGGTCCCTTTTCCCTTGAACCATCGCTCAGCCATTCCCCCCCCCCCCTCCTCCCTCCCTTCCCTCTCCTGTCCCTCCATCCTTCACACCTCTCCTTGAGGAGGACCGAGGGGGAGAGAGGAGGAACAGAAATACACATGTCCCTTGGAATTTGACGCGCCAATCGGGCCAGTCTCTCGTATGTCGGCGGGGAGTCGGGGGCGCAGAAACCGGGCGCGAGGCTGCTGCTCCCGCAGTGGGGCGTGCTCACACCTTTCTCCCAGGTATCCTTTGGCCCCTTGACTGGGAGAGAGCATCATCACACGCGGCGGGCAGTGGTCGGGCTCTGGGGCGGGGGGGGGGGGGGGGGGTGTGGGGAGGGACAGAAGGACAGAAACTGGCTTAGCCGAGCGGGACCAGTGTCCGTGGGTGAAGGAACGTTTCGCCGGGCATTTATCCCGCTTTGCGACCCCCGTTCGACCCAGGTGCCGGCGCTCGGCCGCGGTGTTTTGGCGCTCTTGGCAAGCGGGCCAGCTGATTTTCCTTTCATTCTTCCGCGCTTTCCCGCCACGGGCTCCCCTATGCCTGCAATCCCCGGGGAGGGGAGATCGAAAGGGCGTTGGCAGAAAGCATCGGGCCGGCAAGCTGCGTGGGTGGGACGGGGAGCGGGGGGGGGGGGGGGGGGGGGAGGGGGGGGGGGGGGGGGGGGGGGGGAGGGGGGCAAGAGAGGGGGGCGAGGGAGGGGGGGGGGCGGGCATGTACTTAAGCCAAGCCAGGGCCCGGCCGGCGGGCGGGAAAAACGCCTGCGCCGTCGACAGGGCCCGGAAGGGGTGCGGGCTAGTCGCCCCGAAGGGCGGGCACATTCCCGGCGGGCCGTGGGCCGGTCGGCCGGCAGGCCAAAACCCCGACCGGTACCTGAGCCAGGGCCTTCGCCCGCATGCCGAGCCGGCCAGTGGGTCGGCGGGCTCGGATGGCAAAAATTGCTTTTGTGGCAGCGAAAAAGAGCAACCACCTGGAGGACACGGCGTCGACATCAAGCCCAGCCATCGAGTGCGCGGCCACGGGCTGGGCTGAGGAAGAGAAAGACAGCGAGGGGGGAGGGCAGTGAAGGAGTGGGACAAGAGAGCGAGTTGAGCAGAAGGTTGGCGAACCGGATGTGGGACTTTGGCCGCGGCATTTTCCGACAGCAATACGGCTATCTCCCGGCTCATGGCTGGGGGGGGAAGAACTATCGGGTTTTCCGAGGCAATCCTTTTGTCTGGGCAAGGAAACGAGGGCGATTTTGAAGGGACGGGGGCCGAGGCCGGTGCATTGGGGCGGAGCGGGGGCCCGTGAGCATGGGCGGTTCTCCTTTGGCGGGTGGGGCCCGCTGGCCCGAGGGTGTTTAGCCCAGAGCCCGGGCATGGGCAGCCAGGCGTGTGATGGGCGGAGAACGCGAGGGGGGGGGGG